TGGAAAGCTGGGGTGCTCACAAGATTTCACTGCTTTGGAGGACTTCTCCCAGTGCTGGTTTCCTAAAAACTCAGCAGGATCACCACGAGCTAACTCTAGTGCATGCTATCACATAAATTCAAGCTTTATGTCCAGTGTTTGGATAATTCATATGTATCATGAGACAAAAGGCAGCTTTATGATCCGATGGGTTTATTCAAGCCCCTGTTGGAGCTGACAGACTTACTGCTTTTCACTGTTAATTACACATCAATATGCTGTGGTCTAATTGATTATACACTACCAGTAAATGATCTCACTGAATTCTATGTTTTTCTGACATCGCTGTCTGTTTTCACTCACTCTGATAGAAGGTAGGGCATGTAGTCAGACCTTTATAGCGATGCGAAGCACATAAACGAATCCTGAGACTTATGAAGCATCAGATGAGGTAAATGAATGTGAGTTTTGACAGAGCAATTTGGATTTATCCCAGAAATAAATAAAAGGCTCCTTAGAACCCACTATGACATTTATGATCTGAAGCCACCGGATCAAAACACACACTCAAATCAGGCCCAAAGAAAGCTTTCAAATGATGAAAGTAATGAACTGGCTGTATCTTACAGTTAGTCTTTACCTAAATCTTGAGCTGCAGCCACTGCCAATGCTGCATGTTTGATTAATACATGCGTAAAACAAACCGCTTTGTGGCAATTCAGCAATCAGTCGTCTGCTTATTTGTATTAAACGTGTAATCACCGAAATACCTGCAAAAGTTGATGTCCGTGTGAATTCACGCCAGCGAATTTGCACAGACGGATGCAAATTTGAGAAAGCCTTGAAAGGGATTAAATTATTATCCGAGAGAAAAAAAAACGGACAGAGTGGAGCAGAGTTTGCAATGAGTCAGCCCTGTAATTAAAGAGGAGTGATCAATCTGTACCACTGACCACACTTATGCCAAGTCCATCGAATGGCTGCAGTAAAGAGCTAATTTAGAACCATTAGGGACTGCCGAGTTTGCAAACAGCCCAGTAATGATGATGGCTGATTCAAGTTCAAGGTTTGGCCTCTGTATAACTGTCAGACCTGGCAGTCATAAGGCGATATCAGTGAAAGATCTTAGATGAAGAGAAAGATCTATTTTAATCATATTTTTTGGTCATTTATATATTCAATGAATGCTAGGTTATTGGTCAGATGTTCCCAATTCCTCTGCGCCAAGTTTAACTGCATTTCTGTTTTGAATAGAACATTCTCCGTGCTCCTTTAGTGGCGATGATCACAAGTTGTGGCTTTTTTTTTTATTAACACAACCAAGAATTTCAGCCCAGGCTGTCACAAACTGTCTCCATATTGACACACTCTGCATAAGACCTCAAACACTTTGAAGGACAGAAAGATACAAAGGTATGCTGGATGGAGGCAGCCAGGCATGTCCTTCATCTCCTTGTTATATTCCCCATTTACCCTTTGTGTTTTCCTGGCAAGCATCCCTCCAGAGAGACATGACCTAAAACCGTACCCAGTGCTGTTTTCGCTGCGACTCCCTCTTCCATGTAACGGCACTATGCATGAAACTCCTCTTGCACGGTCCACTTTGCACCTCTCAGAGGAATACGTAAAGCTGAATAATAAACAACTGGGACTATAAAAAGGTCAAAAGGGTCCATACAGTTATTTACTAAAACAACCTGGGATAGTATAACAACACTCATTACTAGAATCACCCTACGACCCTGGCTGAGCTACCTATTTACAGAAAACTGATTTGTTAGAATGTATGCAAGAGAGGAAAGTTTCCTTGAACATTACGCAAAAGACCTTTTATGTGAGACTTCAGTCAGTTTAAGCTTTATATCACCTTACATGAATGTGTGCTATTCAAGCCCGAGTCCATCACTTCCAAGAAAGTCCAGGTAATGACTTGATCACAGCTTTATGCGAAAACGGAGATATGTAAATCACTGGGAAAAAAGAACTACATAAACATTTCTAAAGGACCCAAGAGTAATGGAACAGCACATGTTCACAACAAGGAAAACTCTGAATAGGTGTGCTAAGAGAAACATACCACAACTTCAACTAGGCCTTGGTAGCATGTTTTAAACAAACAGCAAAGTCTCTCTGATCGAACTGAAGGAAAGAGGGGCTTTCCTTCATGGGCTCGCTGAGGGAAAATTTTTGTGAAATTAAAAAATGTTTTGACCTGAAGTTTAGGAAAGGTTTGAATGGTGCAACGATACAATAGCTGAAAACACAAAAATAAGCCAGCAACAGAATGATTGAATGAGAAGAGAGCCCATGACCAAGTGAGCGGTTTGACCTCAATATAGCCGATTGTTGTGCCATGATTTCAAAACATTAAAAAAAAAAAAAAAATTAAGTCAAGGTATCCCTGATATAATCTTGAACTGGGACTATTTTGTATGGGAGAGTGGACCAAAATTTTCCCTATCATTTTTAAATCCATTAGCAGCTAACATCCTGTCCTGCTCGAGGTTGTTACTGCTGCTGTTGTGACGATTAGCGAAAGAATCTTGGCAATTCCTAATAGCTCTTATATCCCCCCTCCATATAAAACCTTCTTGCTTGTCATTTAATTAATGTTTCAGTCATATGTGCAAAGGAACGCTGCCAGCAAACCAGTAGGTTTGTATTTTTGCAATCAACAGTCAAAGTGTCATTACTGAGCCTCACTTTTTTTTTATTTATTGACAGATGGCAGAGCTTTCTGGAATAGTCCAGGCTCACAATGCTGCCTTTTTTTTCAGTCTCTTATTCTCTCTCGCATTTGCATGCCATGCTGAATCTCTATTCTTAGCAAAAGAATAACATGAAGTGATCTTTTTGACCTTGCTCCAATTGCTGATAAAGAACCAGGTGGTGACCACATTCTCACAAAGGTTCTTTCTTACTTGCCTAGATCAGCACACTGTCTTGTCTTATCTGCTTGTGCTGACCTGAGATTCCTCTACCTCTCCCAACCCTCCGCATATTAATGAAGTACAGATGAAAGGGAGCCAGCCAGAATTAACACTGCCTTTCACACTCAAGTACATAATAGGAATCAGTGAGTCTGAACTGTCTTCGAAATAGCAGTTTTCCTGGTCTGATTGGTCAGAGTTAGGTCTAGCCAGAGTACAGACGTCATTGTTCCCACGCTGGTCTGAATAAGCCTTTATTTACTCAAAAAAAGTGGTAGTGATGGTTATGCTTGCAGATTATTTGATTAATAAAGATTTTTCCCATTTCCATGTTTTAATCAATAATGTTATGTAATACAATGATATTAGCCACAGTAGCATAAATCTACCCTTACACTAATCAACCACAGCATGAAGACCAAGATCTGCACATCTTTGTCACAGGAGTGCTGTGTTACCCTTATGACCAGGCTCTATATGTGTGTTCAAACTACAAAGATATGTGACCATTTTACCAATACAACAGCTTAAAATGCAGCAAACACAGCTTGAAGAAGTTTTTGTCAACATAGGAATTGGTCTTTGTTTAGTGCAATTTAAAACTCTAAAACTGCATCTGCTCAGTGAATACATGTTTCCAAGCCACAGTACAAGACGAGCTCCGCCTCTTCTTGTTCGATTATTTCCTGCTGTATCTAAAAGGGATCTGCAGACAAAAATCCCAAAATAGTCACCTTATTATTGTGCGCAGTATATTTCTGATAAACAGCATTTACCACTAACCTCAATGAGAACCTGTTTCCTGTAACTGCTTCAAAATGAACAACTGAATACTGAATGTAGTAAGCTCAGTCGGAAGGGTTTGTTTTGCATTATGTCTAATTTAATAGAGTGTTAGAGTGGGAAACAAAAGTGAGTCTAAAATGCGGCGCTGGAAATAAACAGAAATATATGCAGGGAATACAATGTTCTTCTCACTGTAAATGCAGCTATCTGGGTCTGAGATTTAACTAGCGGTGTTGTTAAAAACACATTTAGCAACGTTGAACTAAAACTAAGTTAAGTTATAACATTTTTTTTTCAGTTATTTAAAGAGTGAGCAACAGAGCAGCATAGCTGAGTGCACGCCATCCAGCCCTAATGTTGCCATTAAAGAGTGCTTTTATACGTATTGTCATTCATTGTCCAGAAAGAACCCAAATTGCATTTTCTCTGGTTTCATTCTTCTCACACCTGTTTGACAGCATAAATCTAACCCATAACAACCTTTCTTCCAATCATGATGCTATTGCACGGGAATATGGCAGCTGCCTGCAGCCTTTGATTTCATCTTGCCCCAGATCTGCATTGTAATGAGCACTCAGGTCAATCAATAATTCACTGCAGTTTCACTTATAAAAAAAGAGTGAGAAAACAGATCAGCTCATGGGTAAAATGGGAATATGACTTTGATCAGTGTTTTAGAGACACATGCAACACTGTAGCACTGCTTTTGTCCTTCTGCTGTATTTGTCAACACAGTAAGAAATAAAGGGAGGAAATGTACATCTGTGTGTCTGAATTACGTTTAATGCTGACACATATGTGCTGAGTCTGCAATGAGTGATGATAGAGTTTATTGTTGTTTAGAGAGTCATGCTGGGACTTCAGTCTGCAAAGCTTTCCTTGCTTTGAAACCACACCATTCACTGAGTTTTCCATTAGGTGTGTGGTAAATACATTTTTCTCTGCAGTCATTGCCTTTAATGAACACCTAACACTAGTTGCAGGTTTTGTTTTCTGAAGAAACCTAATTTGATACAATGAACTAGCATTTTGTCCCCTGTTGGCATCATAAGTGCACCCATTAAAAGGAAACTAACTCTGATATATAGTTAGGGTTTTGCTGTGAATTCGTAGAAGGCATTACTTTTCTGCAGTTTTGTGTTATTTGGGTCATTGGAACTTTTTGGATCACAATGCTATATGGGTGTCAATATGCCCAACTTTGCTATCAGCATAAATATATCACACATTAAACAATAGCTTGATCTCACGTCTGCACATTTTACCAACGGCCTGTCTTTCTTTGCCTCTGTCTCTGATCAATAGTTCCTCCAGAAGACCCAGTCATCAGCGGAGGGCCAGTTGTAAGCCTAAGGGCCGGTGACCCACTCAATCTGACCTGCCATGCTGACAATGCCAAACCTGCGGCCTCAATTATCTGGATCCGCAATGGAGAGGTCCTTAATGGGGCCATGTACTCCAAGGTAAGCATAGAGGTGTGTGTCATTCCAGGTATGCAGACCAGCTGGAAAAGGGCTGTTGATGACGTGATGACACAAGAGTGGAATTTTTATATATATATATATATATATATTACTTGATTTGCTATTATTTTTTACTATTATTAACATTTTCTTTCCCTAAATTATACTCTACTCCAATTTTACCCTTCCGCCGAGTGACCGATGGATGGATTGCTTTTAAAAATGCAGTCCCTTGAAAATTCCAATTGTGTTTGAATTACTAAAATACGGCTTTTTTTCCTTTCTTTTTTTTCCCTCCAGTATCCAAAGCAACTCAAATAGTGGTGAGATCACAGAGCTATCCATGGCTTTGCGTTTGTCTTCAGTGTTTAGATCTTTTCCTTCAGTGGCATTTATCCCACCACCCTAAAAAACTCGACGATGTCCCTTTCGCTGCTGGAATCTGTCTGAACCTTTTCATGCCACAGTATGAGTCTCAATGACAGATCTCGCTTTTGATGCTGCGGTACACAACAGTGCCCATTCACACCAGCCCAATGTTTGGATCACCTGATCCCCATAGACTCTTGACTGACATTAGCCCTTAAGGCTAATCGTCCATTCAGCACTGTCATGTTCTATTTCTATTTAAACAAAGGACATAAAGAGACTCGGCACTTTAGAGCACTAACACCTCCCCCGCCTTCCCTCGCTCCCTGTACTGCCTCATCCCATTATCGGCTTTTTTCAAAGAGCATATAAATGCCATTGATTGGACTGTGGTACAGCACCAGGCCGTTTTGAATAAAGTGATTGCTGGAGGTGCCGTTTGCTAATACTGGGCGGGGAGTGCGCTTCCTGCCTTCACTTCCTCTCAGAGCGAAGGCAGATATGGGGACATTCTGTGCTGGTTGCTGATGGATGCTCACATGTCTGTGTTGAGGCGAATGATGTGTGTCTCTCCTCTTTTATCTCTATTGCCTAACATTATGAAGTGAGGTTGGGGGGGTCAATTAAAAGAACATGACTCGTTTGTGGATCCAAAGAGCAGTGTGGGAGACTACATCATCGTCATCCGATCTGATGGTCTTCTCATTTCCCACAGATGTAGAGGACTAATGTGAGCAGATGTGGTGGAGGATTCACAGAAATAGCTTTCCTGATGATGTCAAAAGTAATGATGGTTCTGACCCGAAGATAATTTTCCACTAAAGGCCTCAAAACCTCATTTCCACGAGCTCTTAGCAAACTATTTACTGGACCAGTGGTTAAAGAGAAAATGTATGATTAACGCCATTGCTTGGCAAAAAATGCATGTCAGTTCTCACATGGAAGAGAGCAACTGAAATGATGCATTGCTTATCATTAGTGAGGGTAGCTTTCAGCAAATATAAACTGTGGTGTATTACGGAGGAGGCACCCCAAATAATTAGAGAGAAAAGTAAGGTGAGTGGTTCAAATGTCAAGACTTGCTTGGGCTTGAGTAAATTATTGAACAATGCTCAATTCTCAGCTCCCATCTGCTCCAGTGGAGCTGCTCAGCAGAAAACTGCAAAGGGCTGTTTGTAACACGCAGCCTCAAGGTCTGAGCTGTGCTTAGGAGGTGTGCAAATTTGCTCCATGATACATTTGTGTTGGAATGGTGCAACAAATCTTTTGAAGAACATGATGCACTTCCTTACCATAAAGTCATTCTTCACTATGTGCTTTGGTAGCAACCTGAGAGTGGGAGATAGAGGATTATCTCAGTGGTAGAAGGGGGAAAAATAACTAAAAAAAGGAAGGAATTATATTTTTATGAGCCATTCTTGTTCTGGCGCATTGAACACCATTTTGTATACAGTCTCTGCTTTGTCACCTTTTAATGCCAGGTAAAGGTGCTAAAGGTCATATGAAGTTGATAATATCAGTGTTAGCAGGGTTAGGGTTAGTTTTTGTCTGTTTTTTTTTCAACCCTCAGAAATATTTAACACAGCTGCTTTTTTTACTGTCCCTTTATTCCATTATGAGTTTTTTTTTCTCATGAAGCCATGGGAGGTTTGTGTAATTAGAGCCCTTTATTGTATTTTAATCATCACACTCACTGCATAATGGGAAGGGAAATACTTACAAATAAAGTAACTAATTAAAATTTGGTTGAGCATTATTGTGTCGCATTTGTTTTTGTTTTGAGACAGGTGGAATGATGTAAGTCAAAGGGCTCCTTAGTTTCAACTGCACACGTAATCACTGGTTCCATTTTAAAAAGATCTCAAAAGATTTTGACTATCCAATTAACCTCATTTATTAAACATTAAAAGTAAAGGTGAAATATAGATCATTTCAATTAATTGCATTCAACAGCTTTTGAAAACAATGAGTTGAGTTAAGTAAAAGAAACCTGCTTAACCTCAGTTACCATGTGAAAAAACAAAATAAATAAAAGTATATATTTCATATCGTGCCAAGTTGTGTGCAATTAACTCCAGAGAAGAGGAACATTTTGTGGTGTAGATTAAAAATGGAAAACTGTTTGGATGTAAATAATTTGATCAGGTCAAAGTAATTTTGGAAGAATTATTAGAAAAATAACAATTATATATATTTTTTACACGGTACATTTACCAGCATCACTCGGTATGCCTTCAAAGTTTAATTAGGTCATCTTAATGTCAAAAAATGTAATTTAATTTTTCTTATGATTTTCCAGATTTTCCAGTTTTAATTAAGTTTATGTTGGTGTTGACAAGTAGCAAATTGCATGTAAATTGTCTTATTAAGAAAAATTATATATAAATGTATATCTATATACAGTACTATGCAAAGGTTTCGAGACTTCCTTCATTCTCTTATACTTTGCTAGGAAAATGGGTAAAAGATTAAATAATTGATTGAAAAACAAACAAATATACATGGAAATATAGTTTATAAGGCAAAAACAGAGTTTGTACAAAGCTCGAGTTTAAAAGTCAATATTTGGTATGATCACCTTTATTCTTCAACACAGCCTGAACTCTCTTAAGCAATTTATGTAAGTAGTCTTCGGGATACTTTGTAACTTTGGATGTTGGCTGCCTTTTGTCCTGTGCTATGTCTGTTCTGTTCACTGATGATCTCACTGTTTCAGTAATTTTGAGATCCGGGCTGTGGGAAGGTCAATCCATAATTGATAGTTTTCTGTTGTGTGTTTTTCTATTAACTTGTACTGTTGCTCAGTTTTTTTTTCCCTTTTCTTATGTACATAGCTTTTAGATAGAGTTTAGTTTTATCTTAGGCTGGTTGCATCTGCTTTTGTCTTCAACTTTCTTCCAATTTCCTCAATTTTTTTGAGGACACACTGCACACCATACGGAGCTATACCAAGGTTTTAACTAATAGCTCCTTGCTGATACAAAAATACTATTTTGTGCCTTTCATACTGTGTTATCTTTGAGATTTTTAGATCGGACTAAAGAAATGGGAACAAATTCTATGTTTTTATGACATGCACATACTATTTAAAATTGGTTCTTTGCTAAGTTTCATATCTAGACACAACACTGGTTCATTCCTTGAGTACAGAGGAAGAAAAAGCAATTTATGCTTGAATGATTCATTTATTGTTAACAAACAAGCAAAGGTCTGAAAATGGTCAGGCAGAAGAACTGGACTGAAAATGAGTGGAAAAAGTAGCCAATGTCCAAAGAGAAACTGTGAAAGACCGTCAGAATGTCTGGAGAACTATTGCTCATAACTTCATTAAAAAAATTAGAGGTGGCTATAAACCTTTGCACTTAAATTAACTGTATATTAAATGACATTAAATGACAAAAACATTTTGCTTTTGGCTACATGTATTACAATTTGAGAAAAATACAAATAGAAGAGAGCTTCAGAGTAATCACAGTATTTCGGACTAACAGTAGATGAACTTTTCTGGTATGTATGTCAAGTTTTATTTAATAAATTATTAATTAGGTTCATGTATTTTAATGACTAGTTAACTAAATGGGTATTCTTTTTGAAACCACTCACTAAAGAAAAGCTCATAGTTCATTCTTTCTCTTTCTCTCCATTACCCATTTCTTTTTTACATGCAGCCACTTAGGGGAAGATTAGCTTCCAGAATTTTTTATGCTTTATGCTGAGGTGATCTGTCTTCAGTATGGACTGTTACTTTCTTTCCTAGATACATTTGGCTGCTCAGAGTTATGTTTCACTTGGGATATGCATTACTTATAACACTCGTGATTTTGACATGTGTCTGAATTCATTCTAAGTCAGGGTTCTCCCTTGTTATCAATACTGTTTCTGAATAATTTGGTCGACGCACTCTATCCAGACCTTAAAACCTGGTCTCAGTACTGGGGTTGTGCTATTCTATGTTAATGAAGCACCGTAAACCACTGGCATATGATTTTCTTTTATTTGTTTGTTAGTTTGGATTTTTTACTTCTCCATCAAACAAACATGCTCAGAGCTGCAATCATCAGTCTCTATGGATATAAACTTAACACCTCTAGCTGAGCTGTTATTGGACATCGTTCAGTTCTCAGGCAACCTATTTGAGTAGATTTCTTTTGTTTGCTTGCATGCTTGTTTTCCAAACCGGTCTGCTTCTGAGAAGTCACTTTCATGTTAGGTTAAAGCTTTGATTGGCAGTCACAGCTTTACATTTAGCTTTTATGTAGGTATTGCTATATTAGCTGGCAAGGGGCCTATCTAGCTGTGATGCTGTTTTTGTGAGAAAGAAGGCTGTCTGTCTCTTAAATGAAAGCCACAGAAAGCACGGTATACCCCTACTTAAGCCAGACCAAATTAGTCTACAAAGCAAGGAAATATTAGACCCCAGTAAAATGAGAGAAAAAAAGACATACTGAGATTCCCATCTTGAAACTCCAGCTAACATTTATTAATAACCAATTTTCACCTTTTTTGTAACCCTCTGGAGGTCAGAAATGACCTAGTACCTAGTAACTATAGCTTAAAAAAAGCATTCATTCCCTCTCAGTCCGGTTATTTTGTCATTCATCTCCTGCCATGGTAAAAATATTCTTCACATGGCTTTAGGAGATGAATATAAAAATTTATCAAATTATAATGTGGCATGGTGTTGAATTCAATGCTGCAGCCAGCTAACCCCTTTTCTAAGATTAATGACTTCAGACAGGTCCAAAGCGACGAGGGAAACAATCCTGATTGTGTCAGAAAGGATATTACATTGACATATCCCGCGTCTGACAGCCAATGTGTTCTGCTTTAGAAGTGACTCATGCACAGTTATGAATTTCATCACATGGTTCTTCACATACAAATGGGCTTCCCACAAGTATGCAAGAGATCTAATATCCCATTACAAGAGAATACTTTTTTTTCCCGCATCAGTAATACAGAGTTTCTAATCTGAAGCGCGTTTAGTAGATACTGTTCCCTGACGTATTTTAATTTGATCAGACTCTTTTCCTGGAAATGCCTAGCCATGAGGTTTTACAACTTCCATGACATTTTAATCATGCTATTTACAATATAGTACGCTTAAGTGAGAAAGACAGCATAAATGTAGATAATTAAAATGTTCACATTAAGTGCAGAGATGAATGGATAATTACCACTGGTTTGTACTTTGGCAATGAATCTCAGTTTGACTCAGGACTATTATTAATGGGTACTGGTAATGGTAGATGGAATCTATATGTTGCATTTTAGTACAGAGTACTAAAAACTTGCAAAGTTGTAGTTATGTCATTTAAACAGCATACCTTATAAATCTAAATATCATCTCAACAGCCTGCAGTAGTTAACTAATGGCTGAGTAGATATAGGATCTGATCATCAGTATTTTTCTTATTGAATGGTTGGCTACAAAATTATACAAAGTTAAGGGCAAGTACTGGATGTATTTTTGGGAGGTAAAACCAAAGTTTCCAGTGCAGTAAAGCAAGTCAACTGAGCTTCTTCTGGTCAACGTAGGAGTAAAATATTTTGGGCTTCTTCAATAGGAAGGTCTTTTTTGTGTCTTCAAGAAATGCAGAGCAACAGTGAGCCTGCTTTAAAAAGATGGCAGGGAAATGCATCCTGACTTTGTGGTTGACCACACTGTGCCCTGTTGCCCAAGCAATTTGTTCTAGTCAGTGACTTTGTTCTGTCCCGCACTGGTTAACATAGACTCCCAGAGCCCTCCCCTGAGCGTTTGAGGGAGCGTGAGAGCTACTGAGCGCTACCAACTGATTCCAGATGGCTTCCACAATGTAGGGCTCAGAGGATGAGCGCTGAAAAGAAGATTGATTTCCTTTGTGGAGTATGACAAGCCATGCACTAGAGCGCAGCTCTCCAGACACACAAAAGCAAACTCAAGAAATATATTTCTACTTTTTTTTTTTTATATCAATCTGCTTTGCAGTAAAACTACAGGCTACAGTGTTCTGAGGGTTTGTCTCTGGATCCCCAAGGGAGTAGATTTGTGTATACATAAATTTTCTGCCTTTTTGCAACAATTTTATACCTTTTCCATCAAAGCTTATCCAGCAAAGCGTTTCTTCCGCCTCTTTTCTCTGTTTGTGCGTCACTTAAACAATTTATAATCCCAGCTTGAATTGGGACTATTGAAGATACAATCCAATATCCCTCGGATTCTGCAGCATTTGGAGTTCAGTACTCTGCTCAGCATAAAAATAGCTCAGGTTCTATTTATTGATTATGATAAAGCCAATCCAAGGTCCCACTATGGTAATCCATTAGAACAACAAAACAAACTTGGCATAGATTTAGAGGCTTAAGCATTCATCCACAGAACTGCCTTAACTTTGCTCTGTATTTCTTCCCTCTTTGCAGACCTTGCTCCGGGATGGCAAGAGGGAAAGCACCGTAAGCACACTCTACCTATCGCCTTCCAACATTGAGACAGGTCAGCAGATCATCTGTAAAGCCTCCAACAAGGCAGTCCCCAACGGCAAGGAGACCAGTGTCACAATTGACATTCAGCGTAAGCATACCACTTCTTCTCTCTGTTATTCTGATCTGTGAAGACCTTTTTTGTGAAAAATATCGGTGGGCAAAGGGTCAGCTTAAAACTTGCATTTCTAAAAATATGAGGCATTTCTCACATGTAGAGTCAAGACACTGTCAAATACCTACGTGGCTAACAGTGTGAAAATCAAGCATTCATTTTTGGCTCTGGTGAATATTTATAATTGGTTTCCATTTTTACTTACATATAGTAATCCAGCGTATGGATTGATGCTGTATTACTGTTTTTCTTTTTTTTTCCATTTGTTTGTTCTGATGCAACATCAAAGGCGGCGTCTATCTAAAATGAATGGAGCCTCCTTTTTTTGGTCCATCTACCTACCTGCTGTGGCACTGCCTGTTATGGTACTGTGCGAACTGTATCCACCTCTTTTATTTCCATGCTCATGCCATCAATCTTTTTGATGAGAACATCTACAGTTCCCCTCTAAAATAGGCAAAGTAAGCCCAGCGTGTAAAACACATTCAGCCTCAATTGTCAGGGAATCTTTTTTCGATCAAGAAGCATTCACAGTAAGAGAAGGGCTCTGAACAAAGGGATTTTGCATCACTCACAACCCCTTCAACACCATTAAGTATGACTAATAAAGCAGAAAATGCTATTTAGAGAGCCATTATGACTGACGGCTCCATTCTTTTCATTATGCACACCACAAGAGGCAAGCATGGCAAGAGCGGGCACGACACGATCAGGCCAACTCAGGCGTGGGGGTAAAAAATGATTAACAATTGTTAGTGTTTGCAACTCTTTCAGTTTGCCTTCTTCATTTTTGTCATGCAGTCAGAGAGGGAAGTCATCCCACATGTAAACTGATTTGTCACCATGTATAATGATGCGTCTGTGATAAATGCTTGCCATCATAGCATCATCCTCGCTTCTGAATGTATGATTTAACCCTGAAAAATGAGTGGAGCAGGTTTCTAATTAGCATTCCAAAATGTGCTCTTTACACAATTAAAGCTCCTGAAAACATTTTTCACAGTGTGAGATCAAACCAAGCGACAGCAGAGACTAATTGTCAAGATTCAAATTGTCTCCCACAAGGCTTAGGCTCTTGTCTCCCTCGTTCTCACCTCCCCCGCCCTCTCCCAGATTTGACAGGTAATGTTCAGCACAGTTCAGCAGAACCTACAGTTTGTGCTGAGATCCGCTTCTAAATTAAGTTGCCTCTGAAATAAAACTTGCTTCAGCTGAACTTTGATTCATTTGTTCTCGATATCAATCTGTTTAATTTCGGTGCAGCTTTATTTGGTTGCAAGGGTTCTGGCTTAGCAACAACATCTGTAACACAAGTGCAAAAAGATTATGCTTTATATGACTATTCACCAAACATGCTATAAATCTAACGTCTTCAGAAAAGTGTTAAAGATAGGAACGGAACATTATAAGGCGGTGCCTTCGCACTAAAGTTCTTTCCTTATACAAGAGGAAATAAACACAAGCTGTGCTCTAATTCAAGTGCTTGATCTTCCTCAAAGCCTAGTCCATAAAGGACAAGTTAATTACCAAGACACTGTCCTCACATGACAAAGTTTCAACAGCAGGAACTGCCAACATCCAGGATGATAAACATTAATTAGCATCATACAAGTGCAGTGGTTGTTTTTATCAGTAACTCATAACCACCTTAGCTGGGTCGATGACTTGACTGTATGATAATTCCTCTATTCCTTTTAATTGTCTCTCGACCTCATGAGTTTCTACTCAGAAACTGCACACATTTGCTCTCTCTCTCTTGCACAGACACACAAATACACCTTCAGCAGTGTATGTGCAGACACGGTAGCGCTATCTTTTGTTACTTTGTTTCTTGAGGGCAAAAAGTCTGCTGGAATGTCATAATGCAGAAAATTGCAGAGGACTTTACTAGTTATGTTCTCCATATGGGTTTCTCGGACACATTTTGCAGGGATTTTAAAATGGATCTGGGATTTGTCTCTTTGTTATTGCTTTGCTGTTTTGTGTAGAAGTACATACTTTGCAGGGAGTCCACACCACAAATGAGCAAATAGCAGTTTGTAGTGGGAAGAAAGGTACAGTCGGGCGATGGGTTACACAGGAAAGACTGAAACGTCTGCCTTCAGTAAGTGTATAGGACTGCTGTACATCGCATCGCATGAAACAAAGCGCAGTGTAGTGGCAGCAAATAAGGAAAAAGTGACAAACAAGAAAGCAAACACCCGATCCTGAACAAATCTTATGTTTTAGATGTAACCAAATATCCCATGACCCTGATACCTGAACACAGCAGCTATAGAGATATACGATGATCCTTTTGTATTTGCATGCATGCTTTTTATTTTGATTTTGTTATACTAACAATAGTAACTTGGTTTAATGAATCATAATGATGATATGTTCAAACAAGAGAGCATGTTACTTCTTATTCGGAGCAAGAGTGATATTAGAAGGCGGTAATATTTTTTTAGTGAGACTTTTCTCACAGAAGCTGAAAGCCATCACCCTACCTATCAAGGCAAGGGTTCCTTCAGGAGCTTCCTGTCACCTTATGAGTTATATGTAACTCTCTGCAGTTTCTGCTTTACAGTTGTTCTTGGGTGTTCTATTTTAGAGGAAAAACCAGGCATGCGTAAGAATGTAACAATACATGTTCATAATTGTTTCAGAGTTAAGTGTTTGTAGAAAAAACGCAAGGCAGACACTGATGATTCAGTACTGCACCTCTTTAAGCTGAGTATGATCAAGTGTTGCTGCATTTCCTTTGACTTCCATAACATTGAACTGTATCTGGATTCTACTTTTAAACCAGGGTCATGTGAATGTCACTCAAAATGTAAATAATTAAGCCTATGTGATGTTCTTAAATAATATAAAATTACAATTATTTTTTTGAACTCTGATTACATTGTTACCGTTATGCTTTTTTGTACTGATATGCTGTCACTGTTGCTGTATTTTTTTTAGGTCCTTTGAGAAATTTGTGTCCAGCATTCGCCCTCTTGAAATTGCTGTGGTTGGGCCGTGAGGAGAGTTAAAGAAGCAGAATAGCAAATTAAGCTACCGATGTGAAGCTCATAACATTTTATTTTCACATAGCATAGTAAGCATTAAGCCTTTGAGTATTAGCACATAAGCTGCTGTTTGTTAAGATGGCCATGACTGCAATGCTAATGTTCTTAGAAAGACAATACAAGTTTTCATTAGCTGGTAACAACTATCTAATGGACTAATATTTGCTGCATATTATGAGAACTTACATTGAGGAGGGGTTGCATGTAAACTCCAGAGCCCCCCTAGTTCATGCCCAGGACCCTGTTGGTGTGGCAACAGCACTACCACTGAGCTTCTGTGTTCAGAATAAATAAACAGCCTCAACCTGGAAGCCCGGCTCATAGAGAGACCTGTTTACCCAGCTGCCAAGCCAAATATTAGTTCTGCAAGTCCGCAAAGAAAACTGTCCCACTGCCTATTGCCTTTAATAAGGTATTTAAAAGTCATTTAAAAATGTAGCAACACTTAATGACATTTTAATGACTAGTCCAAATTGAACCAATTTACTCTCAGGTCAGGGAAACTGTGATTAATAATAGTTTCATAACAGCTTCATGACAGCCAACGTTAGAAGCAACCACATAAGACAAAGTTATGCCAGGTTATGTTGTCTTGGTTGATATCATGTTTCTATAACTGATATGTGAAACAATGCCAGCTTTGAAATGCAAATGAGGTAACTGAATGATATTAATGACAAACCTAATGACAAATATTCATATTTGCTTTACTGTAACTTTATTTTTCTAATCGAAAGTAAAAAAATTAGGAGTGGAAATAAAATAGTCTGGTCTGAAAAAATCTATGATGGGTAAAAAACCCAAAACAAACAGAGGATGGAGTCCAGTTCCCTCTAACTGGAACTGCTGAAAGGTTATTATGGATCTTTTTGTCAAGCAATGCCAAAAAGCCAGAGATATAATGTTTTTCAATTATTTATCTGACACTTCATGCGATAGCTGTCTATTGAAAGCAGTGGGATAAAACTGATATTGATGCTCTCGACTCATTGTCAGTAAGACAGCAAATCAACAAATATCCTCAATTAGCAGTGTATTCACCAAAAATGTAGATGTCTCTGTATATATGCTGGTAACCCCTGTTGGATGTCTAGTTGTGAGTAAATACCACAATTAATTAATGAACAGTCTCACTTCTTTTCCCGCCTAGACTTATCTAATTGGCCGCATTAGTGAGATGATACGAATGACAACAAAAGTAATTAAAGCGTTCTCATTCCCTCTGCCGCTCTCAACATTTGCCATTCTGCCGGCTTCTACGCTCAGGTACCCTTTTTCACTAATATCGTAATCGAAACACGACCCAGCGCACTGCTCTACAGCCTAAACCCGTCTAAAACCCAATGCATTTACCAACCTTTCTTTTCTTTTATCATTACTGAAATGATTTACACCCACTTCAGCATTTTTTTTTTATTCACTTCAACATCCATGTGTTATCTGACCCAGGTTTGGACAAATTTGCATCTAAATACAGTGCATGCTGGTGATGTTGCCAAAATGAGAGGGATTTAGAGCCAACAGAGGCGATTCACAATCCTGGATAGACTGCTGACTACAGTTGTCCATACGAGTCCATTAGCTGACTTTAATTATTTGATAGCAGAAGGGTGGCTACCCCCTGATGCTGTTTTCTGCAGCAGCATGACTGAACTTGCAATACGCTCTTTAGACTTAGATCAGTAAACTCCCCTACTCTTCCATCATATCACTGTAGCGAAATACGATCCTGGTGCCACAGTTTCATGTCCCGCTGGTTCCCACTCATCAAACTATTTAAAATATTCCTCAAACATTTTCTAGTCCAGTTGCATACTTTGCAAAGCAGTGCCCCACATAGAAATATGCTTTGAAACACATAGGCTAGTGGGAAATTAATGCACAAGGGACGGGTAAAACCAAGGTTTTCCATGTGTTTGCATT